GGCTAGCATATATATATATATATGTATATATATATATATATATATATATAGTTATATATAGTTTGTCTATGCACAAACCCTATCACTCTTCACCCCGCAGACGCTGCACCCCGATATCCTGCGAAAGCAAAAGCCCCAGACCTGGCATCATGTCTTCCTCCCAACATACGGCCGGGCCGAGGCGGACGACGCGCAGCGGTTAAATTATACCATCAATGTACTCACCCCTCAAACCCATAAACCACCTTTAGAACATTATAGAACCTTGAAAACAGACCCTGCTTTAATTGGTGAGGCTCCTACAAGGTTGAAGTACCCAAATAGTAGGGCTTTCAAGGTCCCGAGTACTTTACTCTCCATGGCTTTTGGTACACCTCACCCCACTATTTGGGCAGCTGGGCGGTGAAAATCCCAAGCCCTATATGACACCTCCAGCACCCTTCTGGAGACTGAGTCCCTCTAGAGCATTTTTAGAGACCCTGTTTCAATTTATTAAGGCCCCTATACTCCTGTGCAAAGCCCTAATAGGGCTCCGCCGGAGGAGGGTTTACTGTAAGCGCGAGCCCGGGTCAAAAACGGCTGCCCAAGTCAAGGTGGAGTTCAGGGTCTAGGCTTCAGGCTCTGGCTTAACGGTTTAGAGTTTAGAGTTTAGGGTTTAGGGATTAGGGATTAGGTTTAAGGTTGGGATAACATAGGAGCGAGGATGTGCAAGGGTGGGTAGGGGTGGAAGGATCTAGATTAGCAAAGGACCTCTATGCAAACCAGCTGCCGTAAAGTGGCCGTGGGGGCATTGCTCTCGCATAGACTAGCTTCAGCTGTAGGGAGTGTACTAGGTATTCGTACATTATAGCAGTGACCATTACCCCATTTCACATCTCGCTGCATCCACACCTGGTGGAATCTCCACAATGTATTCATTCCGGTCGAAATCATCGGGCAGGAAGTCCTCTAAGACGGAACATTGCAGCGGCATGTACTTGGAGGATCATGGGAAAGGAGAACGTATGTTCTTAAGTATCTTTCAGTTACCCGAAGAGCAACCCTTGTTACTAAGGCCCGTGATTCTTTCTCTAAGCTCAGAGGCCAACCCTAGAGCACATATCCAGAACCTCAATCCCTTAACTACACAGTCGAGCTCCTGAGCTGTCAGCACGGCCAACTCCACAACGAGTTTCAGGGTTTAGGGTTTACTGCTGCTGCTCCAGCTTCTACTACTGCTGCTGCGACTGCTACTTCTACTACGTTGTTCTTGTCGAGTACGTACCATTGCTCTTGAGAAGCGGGTCCTTGTACGTGACGGGGCTGCAGACTTTGGCAATGGGCTGTCCTGTCTTGACGTCGCCAAGCCAGATTCCACCCTTCATGCTCACGAGCGTCATCTGGCCCTGGAGTTGAATCGCCTCGCCTTTTGCATTCTTTAAGTTCTCGGTGTACTGCGAAGTGTTTCCGAAGTTAGAACCGATTCGGAAGAGTTCCTGCGCAGGTTTTCCATCAGAGTCCGTAGCATACACGTACTGCTTGTCATCCACCTGCATGAGCGGTTCCTTGATTACGAACAGGGGACACCCATCGCCATCACAAATGACTCGTTTCTCGTCGAAGTTCATAAACCTTGGTTCTGTGATGCTAGGGGCTCCCTTTGATTTATTGAAATGCCACAAGAACTGCCAAAAAGATTCATAACATTCACCGCGAAACTTCCCGAGACATTGAAACACCACCTTGCTCGAATCGTTGGCATCGACAATCCTCGGATCGGGTTTGTGCAATGTCTATAATCTGGGGTCCTCTATTGCACAACTACGAACCAGGTTGTGACATAGCATAAACTTCACAAGCACTATACGGGGAACCATAACTCATTCTTCAAGTCGGTGTAGCACAGGCCTAAATTTCGAGGTTCAAAACTGCTCTTGCGAATTGAATGCGCCAGGGATGCAAACAGCGATTCCCCTCTCGACCCGAAACCCTATACCCCTAACGGCCGATAGTACAGATGTTGATCTGAAAGGGGTTCCCTGTGATAAATTTAGAACCAGTTCGTCAAGGCTGTTGTGACAAGGCTAGAGGGCTAAACCCTAAACCCGAAACCTGAAGCCCTGAACCAAAAGGGAGTTAGGATTAGGGGACCCTTGGGGATATAGACCCTCTCAAAAGGTCCTCTTTAAGAGAGCCACAAGTAAGGTTCAGAAGGGTCCCCTTTAAGGGGTCTCCCTAATACTACCCAGGACCATGAACCTCAAACCTAGACGCTTGTAGCTGTCTCCACTGAAAGAGAAGATCTTTCCCTTCAGGCGCAACATCCGGTTCTTGCCCTCCGGGACAACGAATTTGGAGTCGAAGACCTCGGGTTTAGGACTCCAGGGCTATAAGGGGGTCCCTAAAGGGATCTATTTTGGGATCCTTAAAGGGGATAAGGGATTAGGGTTTAAGGTTTAGGATTTAGGGTTTAGCATTTGGGAGTTTAGGGTGTAGGGTTGAAATTTTCCTGGACGGTATAAAACCTATCTTTCTACCTACATTTCGAGAGTTCCTTACCACCGTTTCCTGTTGGAAGTATAAGGTTTAGGGTACAGGGTCTTTTGGGGGTTCCTTTTCGGGATCTATAAGGGTTCCTTTAAGGTAATATAGAAGTTCCTTTAATTTCTATACTAAGGGGTTCCTTTAAGGGACCTATAGGGCCTGGTCTGGGGATTGGGGTTTAGAGGTTTGGGTTTGGGATTTGGGGACTAGTTCAAGGTTTATAAGGTTTATTACAAGGCAGTTTCCCAGAGACTCCAATATCACTTAATTAGGGAATGTACCTTAAATTATAATGGGAACCCTAATGAGATTTAAGGTATATTCCTTATTTAAAGGATATTGGAGTCTCTGGGTTACGTTTAGGTCCATTGTATCTGAGCAAGAGCTATCATATGGGTGACTGTGGGGGTTTTTCTAAGAGCTACCATGGGGTAGGGTGACTGTCAGGGGTATACACGCGAAGGGGCTCAGAACCCTTAACCTCAAGCCCCAAACCCTAAACCCGTTAGGGATTGTTGATGATTTACAGGCCGGCCTACTCCAATTCGGGGCCCCATGCCAGATCGATAGGGTCTTGGGTTTAGGGTTTTGGGTTCAGGATATAGTATAGTCTAGTATAGTCTATTATCACAAGGAGGCTCAAACAATCTGGGATATAGTATAGTCTAGTATAACCCAACAATAACAAGGAGCCATAAACGATGTGATTAGAGTGTCTGTGGCTTCTACATTATGCAGGTACCCAGAACCCAAGAAGATCCCTGCTGCTACGGTTTGCGGCAGTTTAGTTTTTGTTGGGTTCTTGTTAAGGTAATTAATTTAAGTTACAACTATAAAGAAACCATACTATTTACTATAGGTCCCTATTCTGGTAGCTTCAATTAAATCCCTCAACAAGAAATTGGGTTTGGGATTTAGGACCCGCAGGACTTCTATAGCCTTCCAAAACGTGACAACTTCTCGCCAACACGTATGCAGTCTCCTAATATAGATGCCCAAGCCATGCAGCGTGTAATTGGCTACCTTTCAAGCCAAAAACCTAACATTACAGCCCTAAACCCTAAACCCCTAAACCCTATACACACCCAAACCCTAAACCCAAAACCCTCAACCCTATACGCCCTAAACCGTGATCCCTCGCACCAAAAGCCCTCCCGCTATACCCCCTGACTAACAAGGTCCCACACCGTGAGCTTCTCGATGTCCGGATTTGCATGCAGGTCGATAGGAACCTCTGCTGTGGACGCCGCACAGCCCATGGCTTCAAACAAGCTTTGCTGGCTGCCAGCGAAGCGGAACGGGGGACAAGCTGTGGAATGGGCTTGGCCTTAGAAAATCCTGCAAGACAGGGCCGCAACGCAGACGACACCGGCGATGCAAACCATTTGTAGGCTTTCGGGCTCAGGGTTTAAGATTAACCCTAAACCCTAAACCCTAAACCCTAAACCCTGAACCGTGGGAAGGCGACCGAGGGAGATTTGAAGAGCTGCTGCAGTATTCCTCTGACTCTGCCACACCCAGCGACTCCAATATATCCCTTAAATAAGGAATATACCTTCAATCTTATTAGGGTTCCTAGTATAGTTTAAGGTATATTCCTTAATCAAGGGATATTGGAGTCTCTGGGCAGGGCCTCTGCTTCAGTACTTGGAGTCCCGGAGGATGAAAGCAAGAGCAAGAAGGACTCCAAGAAAACGAAAGGACCCCATGACCAAAATGCATCAATCCTCACACCGTAAATGGCCTAAACCCCCAACCCCGAAACCCCTAAAGCCCCAAGACCCTAAAATCCTAAACCATAAATCCTATAAACCCCAAACCCTATCAATCCTAAACCCTAAACCCTAAACCCTCAACCCTTAGCCCCAAATCTTCCAACCCTTCAGTCTCTACTATCAGCCCGAAGCCTTGAATTCCAACAACCCCAAAAGCCTCAATTCGGGTTTAGGGTTTAGGGTTTCGGGTTTAGGGCTTATGGCCCAAAATCCTCAAACCCAACCCTAGAGCCACATACCCCAACCCGCATGCTCAACTGCCTTAACACCACTCACGAACCTTTTAGCCGCCTTTGTTTCGGGCTTTGGGTTCGCTATCCTACCTTACCCCCCAAATAACCCACTGTTTTGAGGACGCTTATAAAGAATTCAGAATAAGGGACTCTAAAAAAGGTAGGTTCTTTAGGGCCCAGATGCATCCTACACCCTCAACCCTAAACCGTACCCTCAATCCTGAATCGCGAAAACCGAAGCAGCACAAGGGACAGCCGGTCATGAGTTTCATAGGTCTTTCGGTTTAGGGGTCTCGGGATTAAGGCTTTCTTTCGGATTTCGCATTTTTGGGGTTTCGGGCTTAGGGTTATATGTCTCTGGGCTTGTAGTAGAAGCCCAAAAGTTGGAAAACCAATAACCTCAATCCTTAAGAGTCATGTATAGGGAATCCCGGCACTACGTAATTGTCCTCAATCCGGTTTCCAACCTTTTTGGGCTTACTGGAGGGGTCTCGGAATGAGGGTGTTCGGATTTAGGATTTTGAGGTTTAGGGTCGAGCCTTCCAGGGGTTTTACTTTAAGACCCCCACAGGAGCTCAGAGATCTGGGGTGTGGGGGGGGGTACTTAAGCGCGGCTAAGGTTGTAAGTAAGGTTGCAATTCCGATACCCCGAAGACCACGATAACCCTACTTAGGGCACTTTATTACCCTACTTGCCAAGTCCCCTGAACCCTTATCGAACCGTTATAGATCCTTTCTCTAAGGAACCCTTTAACGAACCTTACTTGCAAAGTCCCCTGAGCCCGTAAGTTGTAGTTTGCAGCTGTGGAGTCTCGCGCTTAAACTTCGGGGAGTGCTTGGAGGATCATGGGTAGTCATAACCCAAAGACGCCAATATCCCTTTATTAAGGAATATGCCTTAAATCTTCTTAGGGCTCCTCTATACTTTCAGGTATCTTTCTTATATAGTTTAGGGTTTCTGGAGTCTCTGGGTAACTGGGGTTATCATTCCCCTAACATAAGCTGTGGCTATAGCTATCCTACTTATAAGGCCCGACTTATAACTACCCATGAACCTCCAAGTGGGGGGGGGCTTGGAACCAGTCTCATGGTCTGGGGCGGTTCTGGCTTGCTTGCTGTTGTTTGTTAAGTGTTTTGGGTCAAGGGTGATTAGGAAAGTGATGGGTTTAGGGTTTAAGGTCTATGGATTTAGGGCTTATAGGCTCCAATGTATGGGGTTTAGGGTGTTTTGGGCGTTTTGGGTTGAGATCGAACATCAGCCCAAGTATGGCGACTAATATTATGTAACCTTACCTGCACACTACAAGTAGGCTCAGTATTCACGCTGATGAGGAGCTTGGGGTTTGGGTTTCTGAGAGCGTGCTTCCTTTTTCGGCTGGGTGTCCGCATGCCCGAGGGAGGCTGGCAAACCTGCATCCAAGCCAATACTGTTGATGATACAAATCCTGCCTTACCTTAAGGATCCTAAACTATGGGAATTCTGTCATATTCCTTATTACGGGTATATGCAGGATTTATATCATCAACCGTATGATCCAAGATGAGGAAACCCCAGCCCTAAACTGCCTTTGAACCTGGAGCTCTAAACCCTGGAAACAAGAGGAGGGTTTCGTGTACACTATGCGCTAACTACGCCCCTTGGTATAGCTTTCTTTCGATACAGGACTTGGGCAACGGAATTATATGTCGTAATCGCTGGGTGCCCTAAACCCTAAACCCTAATGAACCATAAACCCTAAAACCCTACACAAACCCTAAACCCCTTCCGGCCCTGCCTGCAATTACTTATGAACTTCCAAGTTGCAACACTTCGAAAACGACAGGAATGGCTATCGGGTTACGGACCCTAAACCCTCAATCCTGAACCTTAACTAGGCCCTAAACCCCAAACCCTATGGCTATATGGCTTATGGACGCCCCCATATCTAACCCTAAATCGATCTCGGAGCGATTGTTGTAGGGTTTCGAGTGTAGGGCGTAGGGGTCTTGGGTTTGGGGTGCGCCAGGCTATGCAAGGGTACAGGTCCGGTGTGCCAAGTCGCGCCATCACATCATCGAGGTCATGCAGGCGTTTGCAACAAAAAGGTGCCCTGCACCTACCAGGCAGAATAATGCCCTACCCAGCCCCGCACCTGGCGTCAAACAGGATCTGGGCACAGACCGGCTTCTTCTTGTTGGCCACAGGCCACAGGCATAGCGGACAAGTCTTGCGAAATTTCTGGCAAGGTTCGCAGGAGATGCCCTGCCGTCGCAAGTGTGCGCTTTTGTATGGAGCAACCTGAGAAAGCAACTGGGGTGACATTGTACCTTTTTCAGGTTCCGCCCAGGCCCCCAAACGATGGGTCTGAGATCCATGCAGGAAACTTGGCAGGACAAGTTCAGCGCCACAAGGTCCGCGTACGGCTGCTCGACGAGGGGAGAGTTTTGTGCTGATTGCGAAATGAAATCTAGTCCGACATGTTTGCAAAAAAACGCGGTGAAACAGGCTGCGCAGCGATTAAGAAGGCCTTGTTGGGCATCAAACAGTGCAGTAGACATCTTTGAAAGGTTGTTCCACCGGCTTGCTTTTGGCGCCGCCTGCGAGCTCCAACCCTGAACCCTAAACCCTAAACCCTAAATCCTAAACCCTAAACCCAACAACCCTAAAAACACTAAACCCTATCCGCTGCACAACGTCCTCCATGGCCTCGCCAGTCTGCGAATCAGCCTCGTCCCCAGAGACTCCAATATCCCTTACAGGAATTGAGGAATAGACCTTGAATTCTACTGGGAACCCTAATAAAATTCACGGTATATTCCTGAAATTAAGGGATATTGGAGTCCCTGGGCCCGGGGCCCACAGGCAGCGCAAACCCCAGCAGGTCGCCGCACGTCCTGAACCCTAAACCCCAAACCCAAAGGCTCCAATATCCCTTAATTAAGGAATAAAAAATTTAAAATCTGATCAGGGCTCCTATTATAATTTAAGGTATATTCCTTAACTAAGGGATATTGGAGTCTCTGGGAACCCTAAGTCCTGAACCCTAAACCACACACACACAGACAGAGACAGAGTCGACATGTTAGTATAGGAACCCGATTCAGAAACCCGGGGTGTTTATTTGGGATCTCGTATATGAACCCTAACATCTTAAAGGGTTCTGGCTTTTTTATTAGATCTCTTCTATGAATCCTACTACTTTTGAGGGGTTTCTAGGGCCAGGGCTTCTTAATCAGGTTCCTACACTACCGCAACCTTTCTTCATGGGCCCATGTATCCCCGAATCCCCAAAACGGGTTTAGGGTTTCTGCCAGGCATACGCAGCGGTTGCATATGCAGGGGTGCGGCATGCTTAGGCACCTCCGAAGAAAGGCTCCCCTATAAACCCTGTAAACCCTAAAACCCCAAACTATAAACCCTGTTTAGGGTGTAACTAGAGTCGAATGTAGAGTCCGCAGAGTATAGGGGCTAAAAAGAAGAAGCTAAGTTTCCTTGCTGGTACGGATGAAAGCCAGCGCCAAATCCCGAACCCAAACACCCTAAAAACCAACAGGTCAGACCCCTCATCGACTGTTCATGTGGTTATTTAGGGACTCTCATTAAATTTCATGCCCTCCATCCTAAACCAAAATCAAGTTTGCATTCAGAAACCCCGAACCCAAAGCCGTGAAATTCTAACAAAACCCTATACCTATAATTACCCTAAACCCAAAACCCAAAACCCTAAACCCTAAAGTTTACCCTAAAGCCTTAATCTACCCCTTAACCAACCCTTGAGATCCCAGAGTAACCCTAAAACTTGAGCTGCGTATAAGGTCCAGGGTTTAGGGCTTGAGGGGTTTACAGGGTTTAGGGAGTTTATGGCTTTGGCAGCTTCGGAGAACTCGGTGGCACCTCGTGGAGAATCCTCGCTGCCAGCTCCTCAGGCGACTGCTCCTGGCATGTGTGGGTGATATTTAGGGTTTAAGGTTTAGGGTTTCGGGTTTAGGGTCCCAGTAGGGTTTAGGGAGTTAGGGTTTCTTGTCAGGGTCCCATTAGCCAACAGGGTTTAGGGTTTAGGGATTTTCGTGTTAAACCTTAATCCCTAAACCTTAAACCCTAAACCCTACACCTTAAACCCTAAACCTTAAATCCTAAAACCAGCTGTTGCACTCAAAGGCTTGGGTTGACCCGAGCTGTTTAAGAACCCTAACCCCCATACCCTAAGCCCTAAACACTCTCTCTATCATATGATGTTTAGGCCTTTTTTTGGATTCGCGGAATCTTTTTTC